ACACACACACACACACACACACACACACACACACACACACACACACACACACGCAGTGTGAGGGGGAAGGAATCAGGTTTAATCAGGTCACCTCCGGAGGCTGCAGGAGCAGCTTTGGCGCTGATGTATTTTAAGGAGCGTCTGGGAGGCTGGGAGAGGAGGAGGAGCCAGAGAAGTGCCAGCTTCTGCTCGGTGGTCCTGAGCTTGTTGTCTCACCCTGTCAGGGCCCACCATGGACAAGCCCCCAACATTCAGGAGGCCCTTCCATCGTCATCCCGTGTTTCTCGTTCTTTCTGTTTTTAAGCAACAGGACCCATTTCTCCCATCTGTTCCCCTCTAATGGGGTCTTGGGGCTGGGGCATTTTTACTGGGGGAGTTGTTTTTAAGCTTAGCAGAGTTGGCAAGTGACTCACCCAAGGTCATGGTCTGAGTCAGCACAAAGCCAGAAATAGAACCCCGAGTTCTGGCTTCCCAGGTCTTCCACACTTTGTTCCTCCTTCTCCAGAGGCAGGTGGGAGCTGCTCTCGGGGAATGGCTGGTCCTTCGCTCCACGTCTCCTGCCCCAGGCCTTTCTGTGCACACTCTGGCCCCGGACGTCTCCAGAAGTGCTGCACCTGACCAGCTGTATGACCTCCAGCAAGGCTTTTCACTCCTGAGTCTCAGTGTACTCTTCTGATGAATGAGCATACTGATGCTCATTATGGCGTGGGGTCCCTGCGAGGACTCAATGAGCACATGGGGCAAAAGACTTGATACATGACCAATAAGCAATAGTTGGTAGCTGCGACTCATGTCTCAGGACTTTCCATGCTGGCTTTTTTTTTTTTTTTTTGAGTCGGAGTCTCACTCTGTCGCCCAGACTGAAGTGCAGTGGCCGCTCCCGGTCACCGCAGCCTCGACCTGCTGGGCTCCGGCGATCCTTCCGCCTCAGCCTTCCAAATAGCTGGAACTACAGGCGCGCGCTACCACACCCAGCTAGTTTTTTGATTTATTGTAGAGATGAGGTCTCATCAAGTTGCCCAGGCGGGTCTCGAACCCACGGGTTCAGGCAATTCACTCACCTCAGCCTCCCAAGGCGTGGGCTTACAGGCTGAGCCACCAAGCCCGGCTCTATGCTGGGTTTTGATTGTCTGTGTCTCACACCCCCTCCACTGGACTGGGGGCCCTGTAAGGACAGGGCTGTCTCCTTCCTGTTTATTGTCTCTGTGCCTGGCATTCAGTTTTACTTCAGTTACGTGCATGTTTTTGAAAACCTCAGAGGAGGGTTGGGCTGACCCTTATTAGTCATCTGGCCAGTGATGATTCATGTAGTTGAAGGAAAAGGTGAGGCCCAGAGAGGGGCAGGTGCTTGCCTCTGGTCACACAGCACAGGGGGGCTGAACAGACTGGCTTTCCCTGAACTGTCCAGGCTGAGAGAGATTCTCATAGTCAAAAGAGGACCATGGCAGCCATTTCCTGCCCCATTTGGAGGCTGAGAATTGGAGCAGAGCCCCAGCATGACCTATGGTCACCTGCCAGGAGGGCTGAGTCACCACTCAAAGTGCCATGACCCTGCATCACGCCTCAGACAGCTCTGATGTTTGCGTGTACCTTCCTTGGCCTCTTTATCTACAAAATTACCGTCAGCTGGGACTTGGCCTTCATGCAGGGAAGTGAAAATGAGCTTGGCTTAGAGCTAAGACACAGGGTGGGGTGGGGGTTGCCCACTCACAGGGGGGCTGTTAACGCAGCTCCTTGGCTCCTCCCAACAACCTGGACAGGGTGTTAGCCCCATTTAATGGTTTAGGAAACTGAGGCTCAGAAAGGGAGGTCCACTCAGCTAGGGTGTAGTGGAACCAGGATTCAAACTCAGGCGGTCTGTCCCAAGCTGCCCTCTTACATTCCAACTACTGGTTCTAAAGGGCATTATTCCTGGCAGGAGACGCCCCCCCAGAGGAACTCACCAAATCCCTCTGGGGCTGGCCTTGGCTCTGTCTGAATTTAAACAAATGCTCTACAAACTTATCTGTTTCTTTGCTCTTGGAGGCATTTATTTTCTCATTTAGTTTCTCAGGGAGAGTTCTTTTGAGAAAACTTCAGCCTCACCTTGGTTGAACCAGGAACAGAGTTTATCTTCATAAGAAGAGCACTGGTTTACCATGAGACAAATCTGGTTCCTGTCACCTTCTGTCTGACCTTGGGCAAATCGATCTAAGTATCAGCTTCCTCATCTGTGAAATGGAAAAATTGTAATTCCAACATTATAGTGCTACTGAGAGTTTGAAAGATGGAAAATAATCCCTGTAAAGATTTTTTCAGCCAGATGCAGTGGCTCACTCCTGTAATTTCAACATTTTGGGAGGCGGAGGTGGGAGGATTGCTTGAGCCCAGGAGTTCGAGGCCCACCTGGGCAACATAACAAGGCCTTGTCTCTATAAAAATAAAAAGAATTAGCCAGGCATGGTGGCGTGCACTTGTAGTCCCAGCTACTCGGGAGGCTGAGGAGGAAGGATCGCCTGAACCTAAGAGGTCAAGGCTGCAGTGAGCTGTGATTATGCCACTACACTCCAGCCTGAGTAACAGAACAAGACCCCAACTCAAAAAAAAAAAAAACAACTTGGGCACAGTGGTTCACAATTATAATCCCAGTACGTTGGGAAGCTGAGGTGAGACAAATGCCTGAGTTCAGTAGTTCAAGACCAGCCAGGGCAACTTAGCAATACCTCATCTCTACAATAAATTTAAAAAATTAGCCGGACTTGGTGCCATGTGCCTGTAGTTCCAGCTACTTGGGAGGCTGAGACAGAAGTATCGCCTGAACCCAGAAGGTTGAGG